CATTGTCCATCAGAAGAAGGCAACTTTCAGGCAGTTGGTTGTCTTAACGGTGGGTGCAAACACCTCAAGCAGCCATTCCATGAACAATTGCCTTGTGATCCAAGCCCTCGCATTGGCCCTCCACATGACAGGCAGTCTAGCCTTATTCACATTCTGTTCCTTGAATGCATGAGGAGTCTGGGAATGGTACACCAGTAATGGCTTAATCTTCAGATTGGCGCTTGCATTCACACACAGCAAAAGGGTCAATCTGTCCTTCATGGGCTTGTGCCCCGGCCGTGCCTTTTCCTCCTGTGTGATATAGGTTCTGTTCAGCATCTTCTTCCAGAAGAGCCCTGTTTCATCACAGATGAACGCTTGTTGAGTGATGTATCCTTCTGCCTTCATGAATTCCGTGAATTCTTTCTTGTAGGCTTCTGCAGCAGCCTTGTCAGAACTGGAAGCCTCACCATGTCTTATCACACTGTGGATGCCACTTCTCTTGCAGAAATTATCAAACCACCCTCTACTGGCTTTTTTTTTTTTTTTTTGGCAGTAAATCACTGTGCAATTTCCTGGCTTTTTCACAGATCATAGCTTCACTAATGCTATCACCTGCCAGCTGTTTCTCATTCAACCACACTAACAAAAGTTTTTTCACCTCTTCCAGGCACTTGAGTCCTCTGCTCACTCAGCAGTGTTACTCCTTTTGCCACATCAGCTCCTTTGATGGCATCTTTACTCTTTAAAATAGTCGAGATTGTCGACTTTGCCATCTTGTACTCAGAGGCCAGATCAGTCACATGAATACCACGCTCATGCTTTTCTACAAGTTCCTTCTTCAATTCAATGGTTATTTTCTTCAAAACCTTCTTCTTACCATTCTTGCTCTGCACGTTCTGGTCACCTTCATTACCACTCTGCATGTTCTTTTTACCACCATGCTTGCTCTGCACTTTCTTTGGAGCCATTATTCAATAAGCTTCACAGCAAGTGACCACAGGTCTGTCTGTGACCATGAGCAAGGAAGATGGCCACAATTGCGATCATGCTCATGTGGGAAAGATGGACATGATTGTGGTCATCACCCGATGCAGAGTTCGCTAATTGAAACAAAATTTCCAAAATTTCCGTTAATGACCCAGTTTGGTTATCAACTGAAGCGTTCGTGAGCCAAGGTACCACTGTATTTTCCTTGCAAAGTGTATTTATTGACCAAAAAGCACAAAACACACAAATGAACCACTGAACATGTGCAGAGCTGTTCACTGAAATGAATCTAGTGTTTACCTCCAGGAACTCTCCTTATGAATATACCTAGGCCCCACCTGTTCAGGAGGGGCTTTCTGAAAGTGAGCACAGCTCCTCTCCATGTACCAATCATTAAATTGGGCTGTCCACCTCTGCTGATGCCTCATCCAGGGGTCAAGAGCTGGGGGCACCTGGCCTTTGTCTGAGAACCCATCACTCTCGGAGTACCCTCCCGCCAGCTGTACCTCTTCATTATTCCCAGAAACTGCCTGCCCTTACAAATAATCTGACCTTGAGATAAGCATGTCCACCTTCCTCATTTCAGTGTCTTGGCATGTCCCATCCTCCCCAATGCCCCTTTAATCTGCTTCACATTCTGATTCTGAATCTTCTGAACTGCAGCCAGCACTCCATGAGAACATGTGCCCAAATCAACCATCCCTCTCACTCCCAACAACAAAGGACCTCCTACTTCAATATTAGGAGCATCTCTGCTATCTGATTCTTTATGGTTTCAATGGCCAGAGAGCAATGAGATTCCCACCATGGAGCAGGTCCTCAAACTGGCTATAATCTATATTTTATGGGAGTCACCATTAGTTTTCCAGCACTATCACTCTGCTGTTTACTTGAAACCAGTTTCTATGAAAACCAGGGAGCCAATTTGGCACTAGCATGTGACAAAAAGTCCTTTCAAGTAATTGTATCAGCTGCTGAACCATTTCCACATTCCAGAGTCAGACTTTCCACAGTCACTGTTTAAATTTAAGTATTGTTTGAAGTGTTAGCAAAATGTTATATTACTTGATCAAGATAAAATATTGATCAAGTATTTTATAAAATAGCATGCAATTACATGAATTAATTAGTTGACTTACTTTAAAAAAATTACTGAAATTCTCATCCTACTAAAGCATTGCACTTCCTTAAAGGGTACTTGAAGGGTAGCATTATTTATAAGCAATGTTAAAACTGCCTCCTAAATGGGCTCAAGAAAAAAAAAAGTACTCTAAGAATCTGTTCAAAAAGGTAGCCATTTCCCCTGTAAAATCAACTTTTAAGATATTCTACAGTCAAAATGCCCAGCAATGTACATCACTATCAAGAACTATTCATACTGTAATCCCATATATTTCTTCTTAGAAGTAATTTCCATTGAATTCACACTTTAAATCACTGTACTGTCCAGTTATATTTTTTTTGTACCAGAAGCTGGGCACTTCTGTGATATTGAAACATTTGCTGTGTTCTCCAATAAAAGGTATACCGTTACTTAACTTTTGCATAGTAGGAAAGACCACTTCAGTGCTGTATCCTGGTGTACGCAGCCTGAAATAATCTTTAATTGGGGGGAAATATGCTGCTGGATTTGTACTGTTCCTCATGAGTACTGAAGATGAGCAATTAAGGAATAACCTTTTCTCTTTGCTTTTAAAATCATCACTGTATGAAAAATATGGTTTGTTACATTGTATCTTTCTTTTCCCTTCGGAATGATTTAATTACATATATAAGAAAGCACTGTCATTGTTAGCTATATGACAAAGTTCTGACTGGTTTTGAAAGCATGGAATCATTATATTCCCAAAAGGTAGGTCAAGAAAATGACCTGTTATTAGACTATAATGAGATATTTACAATGAATACAATGAATTACAATGAATATCAGACCCGGGTACAGTACTGAATCTGCCTTGGTCGCCCTGTACGACGACCTGTGCAGGGAGAAGGACAGGGGGAGTACATCCCTGTTGGTTCTTCTGGACCTCTCGGCGGCTTTCGATACCATCGACCATGGTATCCTTCTGGATAGACTTGCGGGATTGGGGGTTGGAGGCACTGCTTTGCAGTGGTTCCGCTCCTATCTCGACGGTCGATTCCAGAAGGTAGTGCTGGGGGACCATGTCTCTACGTCATGGCAGCTATGCCATGGGGTACCACAGGGCTCCATTCTATCCCCTCTGCTATTTAACATCTATATGAAACCGCTGGGAGAGGTCATCAGGAGGTGTGGGCTGCGGAATCATCAATACGCTGATGATACCCAGCTTTACCTCTCATTCTCCACTAATCCAGGTGAGGCAGTGGCTGTGCTGAACCGGTGCTTGGCCGAGGTAAGGGAATGGATGAGGGCCAATAAACTGAAACTCAACCCAGACAAGACGGAGGTCCTGTTGGTTGGCGGATCGGGTTTCGGAGAGGGTGGATTTGACCTGGTCCTGAATGGTGCAACACTCCCTCTTAGGGATAAGGTCCGCAGCTTAGGTGTACTCCTCGACCCGGAGCTTTCTTTGGAAGCTCAGGTGACAGCGGTAGCGAGGAACGCCTTCCTTCAGCTTCGGCTGATTAATCAGCTGCGCCCCTACCTGGAATACGACTGCCTGGCGACGGTGACACACGCGCTGGTGACTTCCCGCCTAGACTTCTGTAACGCGCTTTACGTGGGGCTTCCCCTGAAGACAGTCCGAACACTTCAATTGGTGCAAAATAGAGCTGCCAGGTTGCTGACGGGGACGGGGCGTTATGCTCACATGACTCCAGTCCTCCATCAGCTTCACTGGCTTCCCATTGAAGCCCGGGCCCAATTCAAGGTGTTGATTATGACCTACAAAGCCCTAAACGGCTTGGGTCCTGGCTACCTGCACGAGCGCTTACGTCCGTATATGCCCGACCGCCCTTTGAGATCTGCGGGAGAGTCCCTTCTCCAGGAACCCTCCATGAAAGAAATTAGGAGAGTAAGTACCCGGAGGAGGGCTTTCTCTGCGGTGGCGCCCAACCTATGGAATTCACTCCCCAAAGAGGTCCGCCTGGCACCGTCGTTACTGGTTTTTCGGCGCCAGGTAAAGACCTTTTTATTTAAACATCATTTCAATTGTTAAAACATATGATCTGGCCTGGGCAACTTCTTCTTCCTTTTCTTTCTCCTCCTATATTTTTATTTTATACTGATAATTTTAATTTTGTATTTGTAAATCAATGTATTTTTTGTATTGTTATATTTAATGGTAATTTATTATGTACTATTGTATTTCAATGTATTTTATCATGTTGTAAGCCGCCCTGAGGTTTCGGCAAGGGGCGGCATAGAAATGTTATAATAATAATAATAATAATAATAATAATAATAATAATAATAATATTCTGTAACTATGCCCACTGAACAGAAAACAGTAACATTTCAGCTTTCTACAGATGAGCTTCTTAACATAAAGAGCATAACAGATATGAGGCAACAAAAGGTTTTAAAGAAAAGTAAGAAATGTCTTACTTGGTCCTCAAATGAAAGGGCTTGAGCAACATCTCTTGGAAATCCATCAATAACAATACCTTCTTCATCAGGGATTTGCATTAATCTCTGCTTTATTTCAGTAATGGTCGTTTCCTTGTATTTTTATTTTAAAAATAAAATAAGGTTTATTATTTCATTGTAGTAATGCATAGTAATAATGACTGAACAACTTTTGCAGAACCCTTGCCCCCCCCGCCCCCAAAATCATATCCCTATACAGTTTTACCTGTGGGGCTAGTTCCCCTGTAGTAATTATCTTAGCAATCAGGCTCCACTTCCGATTACTACTTGTGTCATGGATCTTCTTTCTTAACAATTCACCAACAGAAATGTACTCAAATCCATAGCGTTCTGCTATTTTTAAACTCTGGGTTCCCTTTCCACTTCCTGGGCCACCTATAAGCAGAAACAAGGATCTTAGGTTTCTCAGGTTCCTTGCAAACTACTCAGAATCTACTGCCAACAATTCCCACCCAAGTAAGACATGTAACATTTTAGATAACACTGAGGGGAGGGCTCTTATGGGAAAAAGGAGGAGGCCAAAACCAACTCAGTTATTACAGTATTTTTAATTGTAAATTCCACAATTTAAAATCCTTAGTCACCTCCCCTAAAGCAGATATAGGTTTCATCACTTTTCACCCCACTCAACACTAGGAGCTTTGCTGTGCAGATTTAGAATGTGACTCAGCAACTCTACAGCCCCTCGAACAGAAAAGTCAAAGACAGAAGATCATTTGGCAAACTGAACTGAGCCTAGATTAAGACTTTGCGTTACTAAAATGCCAAACCAATGCATTGCATACCCAAACACCAAGGCAATAATATTTGTTGCCAGTGTTTAGAACAGTTTTCTTTCCTCACTTTGTCTTGACCACAATGGTCCACAACAGGTTGTAATGCTGTGCTTCAGTAGTTTTTATTGTTTTCATACTCCCATATAGCATACAAAACTTAAGTCATGATAAATGATCTTTCTAACCAAATGAATAGCAACAAACTATATACAGAAACAAACATTTGTGACTGAACACTTTAATACTATGGTCACATGACTCCAGTTCTCCGTCAGCTTCACTGGCTTCCCATTGAAGTCCGGACCAAATTCAAGGTGTTGGTAATGACCTATAAAGCCCTAAACGGCTTGGGTCCTGGTTACCTGAAGGAGCGCTTACATCCATATATGCCCAGCCGCCCCTTGAGATCAGCGGGAGAGGCCCTTCTCCGGGAGCCCCCCGTGAGAGAAATTAGGAGGGTGGCTACTCGGAGGAGGGCTTTCTCAGCAGTGGCGCCTAAGTTATGGAATGCGCTCCCCAGAGAGGTCCGCCTGGCGCCGTCGTTATTTGCTCTTCGGCGCCAGGCGAAGACCTTTTTATTTAAGCGGTATTTTAACTGTTAATATTATTTGATCTTATCTGGCCAGGGCGGCTTATTTTATATTGTATTTTTTGGATTTTTAATGTTTATATGTGTGTGATTTATTTTATAATTGCTTTTATTTATTGCTTGTAAGCCGCCCCGAGGCTTCGGCGAATGGGGCGGCATAAAAATGTTTTAATAAATAAATAAAATAAATAAAATACTAGTTAGAATGGTTTTTCATTCAGGTGAATGCTCCCAAAACAGCCATCCTATTTTCTTCCATGGAACTTTTACATTAAGTATTGGAGAAATATTTTGATTGTGTTGATTAACACAAGCAATAACTTTATGAAAGTATAATATTATTGTTACCCTAGCCAGTGGTGAGGAATGATGGGAGTTGAAGGCCAAAACATCTGGATAGCTATTCTTTTTGTATGTCTTAATTACTGTAGGCCAACAGAAACTAAAAATACTTTGAAGCGGATTTCAGATAGCAACAACTGGAGCAATTGGAGTAAAAATGTTTTGAATCAGTTGAAAGTAGAGAAAAACTACTGTAGAACAGGAATTCCAGGTTGTGAGAGATTGGCTATGGTAGATTTATGGAAATTAGATCAAGAAAGAAAGCTATTGACAGCGTATTAGCAGGGAAGAGTCTTTTCTTATGTATGGTAACCAAGGGTTACCTCCATTTAAGTTTTCCCATCCTGTAATTGGAGCAACACTCTATTCCTTTACATAAAAATTGTTCCTTAAGAAACCACTGCTTAGGTTAAGAGTTCATGCTGCCTCAAGTGTTGATGCTCATGCCTAAGCCTCTTATACCAAGATACTAGGAGGATTTTAAGTATCCCAAGAGAATTGGCAGCAAAAGAAGAGGGCCAAGTTCTAAAATATAAAACTTAAGCATGTTTTAAAGTGACACAGCAGAAAGGGATTTTCCTACAGATGGAATAGTTTTATCCACAAACAGAGATAAAATTCTCCATATAAGGGAGATTAGTGTTCAAAAGATTTTAAAACTGAATATTTTCCTTACTTTGCACGAGTCAAAAATATAGCCTGTACAGAGCTACTTCTATGGAAAGAAATCTAGGAAATTCAGGGATGCAACAGGCTGCATAAATCCTGTTCCAAGGGGTAACAGTTCCCCCTTATGCCTCTAGAGGTTTCCTGCCTAGTTCCCTGAAGGCACAGTTCCCTAAACCACCTATTGCATTGGGCAGTACCTGAAGCACAAAAAATATACATACACTTCAAAATGTAGGCAAGTTGCTGAAAATATTACAAATACATATTTCTAAATGTTAATTTGTCAATTTGTTCATGTCATGTACCTTCATCTCGTATCTTCCAACAAAGTATGCATAGTGGCACTGGTTTTAAGCAGTTAATCCATTGGTGATGTGGTTAAACATTACAGTTAATTCATTATAATTCTACTGGTTCTCCCCCCGACCCCCCAGGACTGCCTGCCTCTTTGCATCCTACCCTACCTATAACAAGAATGATTTTAGGCCTTGGTCTTGTAGGTTCAAATACATTGTATTCCTCAATAAGTTCAGCTGTTTCTGAGAGATCCGTGTCACTTTCTATGGAAAACTGGTGGATTGGAGGCAGTCGGTCATACCGCCGATAAGGGAAGTTGGGATTGTCTGGCATCACTACAAAATGGAAAGAAAAGACGTATCAGAACTAGGATTCTTTTTACATTTATCAGTCATTAAAATCAAGAATATTTCATTGAATAATCATACAGAATTATGCCTACTTAATATTTAAAGGAGGGTTTTCAAAGAGGTCTTTCCTCTTTAGTATGACAAGGGAAGAAAACTTGGGAGGCAGAATGAACAGAGAGAAGAGTTGCATATGGCAGGATGCTGCAGAGATGATGAATTCTCTCTTGTTTGAAATAGCCAGCCAGATGTTTGGCTGCAAATCTCTAGTACAGGGATAAACAACTTCAACTGACCCAAGAGCCTAAATTTGGCAGTGCAGTGTAGTGGCAGCAAGAAAATTCAGCTGCAACTCCCACAAATCCTTAACGGGTTGACATTTCACCTGGCATTTGACATTAAGGATCTGCAGTGGTTTCCTGCTGAATTTCAGCAACTAATTGTAACGGTCAGCCATCCTGGAGTCCGCACCTCCCTGTGCTCACAGGGTACAATTTCCAGCCCTCCATTTCCTGTTCACCAAATCCTGGGGCCAGACACTGGATTCGGCACGCAATAACCCAAGCATTAGGGAAAACTTGCTTATTAAAAGACAGGATTAACAGAACAGGGGTGGAGGGTCTCTCCCTACACCATAACTCACAACATACACACACCAAAGAGGGTAGAGAAGGAAAAACGGAATTGGATAGCAGCACTGTCACTAAATGCACACATTTTCAGCTCCCCCAAGACCCCTAAGGACAATTGGTCACCTTGGACCCAAAGTAACAAAACTAGCTGTTCCCAGCTCTAACACAATATACAGTACTCAGTGTAGCCTTCTCCTTTGTAGAATAGCACAGCATCATTTGGCAGAGCCTCCATCAGCAACAGGGAAACTTTCCTGGAATAGGAACCCCAATCTGTGCTGATCCCCAGTTTTTATCCCTGTTAGATCAAACAAATGACTCACGTGGTGACATCTCCTGACATTACCAAGGTGAGAATTGTATACCTTTTGGCCCTGCAATCTGTAACCTTGGAAGTAATTTGCTGTATTTGGGGGTGTTGTTTGTTTGTTTTTTGCATTCCAGGCACTATCAAGCCCTTCTGCAGCCATGGTGCCTTGCTTTCCTCGAATCATCACCTGGCTGAAGCAGCCAGGCATCTGAGTCAAGTGTAAACTCTTTCCTGGCCAAGGAGTCCTCAGCCCACTTTTTGTTACTCTGCTTGCTGCTGGGATGGGTGCTACCACATGGAGAATTGGGCATAATTTCAACAGTATAACAGGGACTGCAAAAGACCAGCTACTCACTGCTTGTCTAGCAATGTTGTGTTGTGTGAATCCAGCAAACTGAGTATTTAGTTAACTGACTGACACAGGTTGTGATTATAAATCAAGCAGATTACAACAGCTTCTTAAGGAAAGCATTGGGAAATAGTTCTAATATAGTTCTAAATATATATCGCTCCGTGCACAGGGAGGCAGTGGTTTGCTCGCTCAGAGATCTCCAAGCGAGCAATCCACTGCCTTGTGCACCTGCCTCCCCTCCCCTCACTGTACGCGCCTGCCCATCTGCGTGCACCTCACCACACACCCCACCACCTCAGTGCACGCACCTGCATGCACCACCCCCGCCCCCTCACCGGCCCACTTGCACTGCCAGCACCACCTTTCCAGCCCGTGGCTAGCACCGGCACCTTTCCACTGGCCCCCAGCTGAAAAAGTTTGAGGACCCCTGCTTTAAGAGGATGGTTTACTGGAAATTCTTGGCATTGTGAATAGACTCTGTGAATGACTAGTATGCTAAGTAGATGGATAGCATTTTGGTTTTATTGACTTGGTAAAATACTGTGTTGATGGAGCCTTAACTATACATTTAGTATTTGTGGAATTATTTATTTATTTGGTAAGTCTTGCAATTTTAGTTACTTACCTACAGCAAACAACAACCCATTATCAACCTGTTGAATCACATGTAGAAGATAACAGTAGGGGAGCAGATTACAGACTGTTATTAGCTGTTATATTTCTTGTAAATCTTTGTAAGTTTGATTTTAAATGGAGGTTTAAGACACCATTCCAGAATTATTTTATCAGATGTTATATGAATGGTTTGATTTGATGAAGGCCTATAGCACCCAAAAAGCATGAAATGCATGAGGAAAAAGAGGAATTTTAGTATCATTATGGGGACAAGATGAATAATTTTCCTCAGAATTATTATCTCAAACATTGTATGGTACCCACAGTCAGCTTTTTGGTCTGGCTTAAAGTATTAGCTGAGTTAGAGACTACTTCCTAGATGTTTGGTATAAACAATGTTAATTATATTAGCATTGCCGATCAGATTATTGCATATGAGTGGCTCTGTATATTTCTAAGAAAGTACATTAGTTAATCTGTTTGGCATTTTTGCACAGTCTAAATAAGTTATTTTTATATATATTTGGCAACATTTAGAAAATGTCAGAATTCTGTACATTCAATGCCAATCAATTACAGAGAAGTGGATTATGTCCTAGCTGCTTGCTGCAGTGGAACTGATTTCATTGTTTAACAGTAATCACAGCTGCATTCAAGAAAATTCCAACAATTCTGACATACACTGGTGCAAAAATTATGGGCCATGCTGTATAGAATACAAAGCACACATCTATATGGTCACTCATTGTAAGTACCATTGTGCATAGGGTTAAAGATATATGCACTCAAGCATTCTTGAGCAATGCATCTGAGTTAGAATCCAGATTAAAATTACGACAAATTCTTAAACAGCTGAAACCACTATACAGATGTATTTTGGCATGGCTACCATTTACTGAAATTTGTTCTACTTACTGACACAAGCCAGAAGACTGCACACCATGATCACACTATATTTAAATGTACTTAAAGAAGTGTCCACTGTGGACCCCAGCCATTAGGCACCACATAGTGGTTTCCCAAGTCTATTCATCTCTTCATTTAAATCTAAGCTGAAACATGACTGTGACATAAATCCATCTTACCATTTCTGAAAAATGCTCTTCTCGACTGGCTGCCATTAAGAGGAGGTAGTGTACGTTTTTCTGGACTGACAAAAGTGTCCCATTTTACTTTTTCTGCTCCTCCCAGCTCCTTCACTTTTTGTAAACAGTCTTCCAGGTATTCAACTGGATCATCAGGTTTGTAGCACATTAATCCATTCAACAAACTCTGAAACATAACACCCCAAAATGATTTATAATCAGCTGCAGGCTGAACAAAGAATACTAATGCTAATTGTCAGAAATCTGGGAATCGCAGGACTGAGAGAATGTACATTTAGATTCACACAGTTTCAGCAATTTATTGGCAGGATACCCAGATACCCCTCTCTGACAGAGAAAAAACAACAGCGCTGTTGGGTAGCCAGTAAGCCAAACAGACCATGAGCTTTCTAGAGCATGTACAGAGTTTTTCTGAGTTGTGGATCATGTACACAGTTTCAGGACAGTGACGCGACCCTGAATGGGTGAGAAGGTGAGGGCAAAGGGGAAGCACAAAAACATAACACAGAAACATTGAAAAATCATTACAGACATCAGGAAAAACATCATGACCCAATTGAAAGCTTGAGTAACAGGTAACAAATAAAAGAATCAGGGATTATAGAATTCTAACAGGTTTTGATTTTCAGAAATAGAAAATTCCTTAAGACAAAGCATGAGCTGGCTAGGTATTTTTACATTGCAAAGGAAGAATAGCTGCCCCAATCAGCTTGCAACATTGTTTCAAGGAACTGAGAACAGGTCCATCATTCACATAGCTTGGGGCTGTTTTTTCTTTTTCCAGGAAAGAAACTAGGAAGGAAAAACCTTGTAGATGGGGGAGGGGGAGAAAGAACAGACAAGGCTTTTCTATATTTTAATGTATAAAACTTATTTATTAAGATAACTCCAACATTATGCACTCAATTTTGTATTTCCTGTTTTTCCTAAGTTCTAGTCTTGGTCAGCAGAAGATGAAGCTGACAGGAAAAGTTTTACTTCTCATTCCCATTAGAAGGCAGGGCTAACTATTGATATATTTCTCCTGCAAGAGGAGAAACCTCCCCCTGTCTTTTGCTAAGCCTTCTGAAAGGATGCTCACCTTTTTCCTCAGCTACAGCTGTGGAGCTTTAATAAAAATTAAGCAGATAGAATCACATTCTATCATTCTTTACTCCCTTCCATCATGGATCAGTCAGTGAGAGGTAGGAATAGTTTGCGAAATTGTCCCTCTGTTCCTTGGGGCCCACCTAGACTTCCTTGGGCAGAAGTGATATATAAGACTTCTGACTATTTCATATTCATGTGATGTTAAAAGTTTGTGCGTGCTATTTTGACAATTTCTAATACTGCTGATACACACTTTGATAATAAGCCAGGGGTAAATCACTTTCTTAGGTAGTAGAATGTAAGCTGGTAAATTGTCATGTTGTACTATATAGCAGAAGCACTGGTATTGTCTTTTCTGGAGATGAATATTTATCTCGACACTTATATATTCCAAGTCTTGAATCTTTCTGTAGGTTATGTTTTAGGATATTTTTCTTTATTTTTTATCTACTTTCAATATTTTAGAAACATAGAAACAGAATTAGTCAGAAGGGGTCTCCAGGGCCATCTAGTCTGACCCCTGGCTCCAGCCAGCTCCACTCATGACATGCCTACCATGTGCATGTCCAGTCTATCCTTGAACATCCTCACCGATGGGGCTTCAACCACCTCCTGTGAAAGCCCATTCCATACCCTTGGGGTCCTAACTGTCAGAAAGTGCTTCCTGGCATCTAAGGATCTAACCTTGGATGCTTGAGCTTGGCTCCATTGGAGCACCTCCTGCCCTCCTCTGCAGGGGAGAACAGGTCTCTACCCACCTCTGTGTGACACCCCCTTATGTACCTATATGTCGCCAACAGATCCCCTCGGAGTCTCCTCTTCTCCAGGCTGAAAAACCCAGTTCCCTCAGCTTTGCCTCATACAGCTTTCCCTGCAATCCGGCCACCATCCATGTGGCCCTACGCTGCACTGTCTCTAACCTGGCTATATCCTTCCTGTAATGTGAAGCCCAGAAGTGAACACAGTACTCCAGTTGCAGGCGCACCGGAGTTGTATGAAGTGGTAGTGATACCTCTCTCGATCTACATAGAAGCCATTTTTCTGGCTATGCAGCCAAGGGTGGCATTCACCCTCTTGACCACCACATCACACTGCTGACTCATGTTTAGCCTGCAGTCGACCAGTACCTGGAGATTCGTTTCATAAGTGCTGCTCTCCAGTCACTTGTCCCTGAACATATGACACCTTGCACTTGCTTTTGTCGCCTGCCCACTTCCATAATCTGTCCAGATTCTTCTGGATCTGGAGTACCTGCTCCTCAGTTGTGGCCACCATCCCCATTTTAGTATTGTCGGAGAATTTGATCAGCAGACTGGTCATCCCCTCTTCCAGGTCATTGATGAAAAGACTGAACAAGATCAGTATCAGGGCAGAGCCCTGGGGGACCCTGCTCATCACCAGCCACCATCCTGAAGATTCCTCACTAATTTTATCTATATACTTTTTCCAAGCCATATATAGATTCAGTTGACTGCTGAGAAATGAACTTTCCTGCATTTTCAAGCACAAATGGAATAATATGAAGCAGAGAAAGTGATTAATAAAGTTGCTATGGTGCTGCCTGATGGTTGGATCTGTGAATATTTAACATCAATGGCGATATTTGGATGTTTTGTTTTTGTTAAGCTTGGTTTTACAGTAACTGATTGCATAGGAAAAATGGGGAATTTGCTATAGGATGTTATGCATATTAACTAGAACACATCACAAATTTTCTTAGCAAGTTGTGTTAATGAGTACTGGTAAGGAACATGCTAGACAGATTAATCACTGGTCTCTTCTATTTACATAGTTCTTTGACATTCATGATGCAAGTATTAATACTTACCACCTTCCTATGCTTAAGTAGTCAAATATCATTCCCCATATGTAATGAAGTCTACCAAGGCCTGTACCTTTTCAGAATGCAGTTGGAGCCAGTGGCTAATATCTGAGTGGTCCCACATATTAACAGTTCTTTCATGTTGAATAATACAACCTATAGACTGGGTTTGGACAACATGCTATAGGTTGTTATTTTGTGAAAACCTGATCCAGCATACAAAGCTACTCCACAGTAAATAAAACAGTATCAACATAAAGAGCTGAAGAGCAGGGCGGGGAATCAATTTGGACAAGCTCTGCCTCTTTCCCCATTTCTGCCTCAGAGCAGCTTTTTTCATAGTAACTTGAAAGAAACTGTAAATACTGTAAACTATAAGTCCATTCAAAATACAGCTTCCACTCAGTTCTTAGGCAAAAGCAGTTTACTAACTCTTGGTTTTAACATGCAATGTCATTGAACCTTATGACCTAATTAGTTTGAATGCTTTCACATTTTCATATTCAAGTAGGAATGCTTAGAGGTGAAAAACCCAACTTTTAATAATATGGCAACTTTTGTAAAACAACTATTTTATATAATTTCCACCTCATTTTTGAGGCTGCAGTTTGTCTCTACTTCAAGCACAGTACTAAAGCTGATAGATTAGATTTACTCACAGTACCACAGAGAATCAACAGAAAGGTTCAAGAAAATGTGTGCATTTCAAAGTTCAAAGTATTCATTTATACAAACCATATTTCTGTCCCCTTTCATGGATCACTGTCTTGCCGTGGTGAAGGGGCTTGTATAGCACAACAACGCTATGAGCTATGCTGTGCAGGGGCACCCAGTGTAAAGAAATAGAAGACAACAATAGAATAGGGAAGACTGGAGATCTCTTCAAGAAAATTGGAGATATGAACGTTTCATGCAAAGATGGGCATGAGAAAGGACCAAAATGGCAGGGACCTAACAGAGGCAGAAGAGATTAAGAAGAGGTGGCAAGATTACACAGAAGAACTATACAAGAAAGAGCTTAACATCCCTGATAACCATGATGGGTTATCATTCACAGACATCCTGGAATGTGAAGTCAACTGGGTCTTAGGAAGTCTGAGCAACAACAAAGCTGGTGGAGGTGACAGTATTCCAGCTGAGCTATTCAAAATCCTAAAAGAAGATGCAGTTAATATTCCAGCAAATTTGGAAAACTCAACAGTGACCACAGGATTGCAAAAGGTCAGTTTGCGTTCCAATCCCAAAGAAGGGAAACACGAAAGAATGATCAAACTACCATACCATTGTGCTCTTTTCACATGCTAGCAAAGTTATTCTCAAAATCCTACAAGCTAGGCTCCAGCAGTATGTGGACTGAGAACTACCAGAAGTACAGGCAGGGTTTCAAAGAAGCAGAGGAACTAGAGATCAAATTGCCAACATATGCTGGATCATGGAGAAAGCTATGGAGTTCCAGAAAAACATCTCCTTCTGCTTAATTGACCACTCTAAAGCCTTTGATTGTGTGGATCACAACAATCTGTGGCAAGTTCTGAAAGAGATGGGAGTACCAGACTGTCTTATTTGTCTCTTGAGAAACCTGTATGCGGGTCAATAAGCAAGTGAGAACTGGACATGGAGCTGCTGATTGGCTCAAAATTGCGAGAGGAGTAAGGTTAGGTGGTCACCCTGCCTATTTAACTTCTATGCAGAGCACATCATGCGAACGGCCAGGCTAGATGAATCACAAGTCGGAATTAAGATTGTCTGGAGAAATATCAACAACCTCTGATATCAACAAATTTTGATAGAAAAATATTAGATTGCTCCAAAATTGGCTGTTAAATAAGACAGAAAGAGTGCTCATCAATGGCACCTTCTCAGACTGGAGGGAGGTAACTAGTGGGGTGTCACAGGGTTCAGTCCTAGGCCCAGTGCTCTTTATGAATTATATAAATGAGGAAATACAAGGAAAGATGATAAAGTTTGCAGTCAATACAGAATTGGGTGGAATAGCAAACACCCTAGAAGACAGAATGAAGATCCAGGGTGATCTTAGAAACATAGAAACAGAGTGAGTCAGAAGGGGCCTCCTGAGCCACCTAGTCTGACCACTAGCTCTAGCCGGCTTGGCTCATGACATTACTACCATGTGCTTGATAAACTTGAATGCTAGGCTGAAACCAACAGAATGAGATTCAATAGGGGAAAATGCCAAGTCCTCCATGCAGAAAAAAGGAAACCGGGTGCATCAATACAAGATGGGGAATACGTCACTCAACAAAAGAAACAGACCTTGGAGTTATTGTGAACAACAGGCTAAATATGAACCAGCAATGCAGCACAGCTGTAAAAATGGCAAATGCTATTTTGGGATGCATTAACAGAAGTATTTCTTCCAAATCACAAGAAGTCATAGTTCTCCTATACTCCTCACTAGTCAGACCTCACCTGGAATACTGTGCCTGTTTTGGGCACCAAGTTCTAAGAAAGTTGCAGAAAAATTGGGAAGGGTCCACCAGAGGGCAACAAAAATGATCCAGGGTTTGGAAATACTGCCCTATAAGGAAAGACTGAGAGAACTGGGCATGTTCAATCTTGAGAAAAGAAGACTGAGCGGGGTATGATATCATTCTATAAGCACCTCAAAGGCTGTCACAGAGATCAAGATCTCTTCTCACTGATACTAGCCTGTAGGACAACTCAAGTTGAGAAAACCAAATTAAGGCTAGATATCAGTAAAAAGATATCAGTGGAAACTATTGCCTAGAGAGGTTCTGAATGGGATGGTAAAGAGGCTCTCCCACATTAGAGACATTGAAAAAGAAACTGGACACCCATGTGAGTGGGATGGTATAAATTGGTGTCCTGCAACATCAGGGGGCTGGACAGGATGGCCTTCTTGGCTCCTTACAACTCTACTATTCTATGATGATTCCATATTGGCAGCTCATGCTGTTTTCTTGCTTCTCTCCATCCATTCTCCCTACCAATGAAGCAACTCTGAGGCAAGTATCCTCTGTGAAGTTTATAGGCACTGGCCTTTTTCCTGCTATCCACTTTGTCCATTTCCCACACTTCCTGCTTTAAATCCAGTGATGCTTATGCCCATGTATGCAGGTAAATTTTCTATCCCACTCTTAACTTTTCCAAGGCCAAAATGTATAAGATATACATAGGAACCTCACCCAATTCAACTGCTATAGCTAATAGTAATTATTTAGGAATGAGCTCTGTTAAACTCAGGATTACAAGGTTAAACTTCTCTGGGGTTTGGGCCTAGATTGTTTTCTCAGATTCTGATCCAAAGTGGAAGAAGAGGTGAAAATGGAATCCACAGATGAGATGCCAAGGCCATTGAATCCAGAGATAGAAACTGTCTGATTCTCAGAGACTGTTTTAAGTAGGGGCAGGGTGTTCAGGGGAACAAACTGTGAAAGCGGGGGGAGACTTAACATCATTACTTCAATCATATGGCTTCAGGTTGAACAACTGAGAAGTTCTCAGCAATTGGCCTTGAAGGTTGAATCAAGTATTTTTAGTCTTTTTGGTTTGGAAGAAAGGACAGGTATTCAATTTAGAATCAGCCTTTAGAATCAATGAACTGTAGTTCCCTAATGACCAATATTTTACCTTTGCTTGTGTCTTTTGTTAATGATGTCTGCAATACTCTTCTTTTATATCACAAAACCAGCCCCACTGGTCATCTTTAACATAATACATTTTCTAATTAGAAGGTTTTTGCTCTGATCAGCTTGGAAGGAGGAAGAGTAGGACAGCAGCAACATCCAAGGAGTGTATATAGGATATATATTGGATTGTCCTGTTAGGCTGCAATTTTATGCACTCTTAGCAGGGACTAAGCCTGTTAAATTCAGTGAGGTTTTTATGCAAGCATGTATAGCATTGCACTGTTAGAATCTATTCTTTAAATACCTTTATTATAGATAGTTAAAAAACCACTTCACAGTTGTCCTAAAAATTTCTGCTACTTTTCAGAGATTATTTGTGATTTACTGAGATATTTAAATACTAGAAATTTATTAATTACACTTAATCCCTTTATACTTGTATAATGGAGAGCAGTTGAGAGCCACTCTGCTAATGAAGGGTTAACTCTAGGTACAGAAGCCTGGGCTGCTCCAGCCAGATAGAGATGCAAGGTGCCAAGGTAGTAGGAGGCTTGATAGCACCTGGAATACAACTGTAACTGTAAATTACTTCCAAACACAAAGCCATTCACACCCCACAAGGCCAGAGATTTCAGGCCTAAAGGGTATACCATTCTCACCTGGTACAGTCAGGAGATGTCACCCCACAAGTCACCGGTTTGATGTAATGAAATGAAATCAGGGAGTTGGGACAGATTGGGGTTCCTCTCTGAGAAGAGCTTCCCTGTTGCTTCCGGAGGCTCTGCAAAAGAATGCAGTGCTATTCTACAAGGAAGGAGGTTACACTGAGGATTGTATACTGGGTTAGTGGTAGGAACAGTTAGTTTTGTTATTTTTAGTCCAAGGAGGCCAGCTGGCCTGGGGGTTTTGGAGGAGCGAAACAGTATCAGTTCAATGAACCTGATGCTCTCCAATTCCCTGTTTCCTTCCCTACCCTCATTGTTGTGTGTGTGTTGTATTTTATAGTGTTTTAAGGCCCTCTACTCCTGTGTTGTCTACCTTGTTTTTTTTAATAAACCTGTTTTTCCCCAAGCTGCTGAATCCAGTGTCTGGCCCTGGGATTTGGGGATCCAGAGAAGCAGGGTAGGAAAGTGAACCCTGCCAACTGCTCAGGGGTGGCTAGTCTTTACAATAGTATTTAACTATTTCAATAAATCCCAAATGTAGCCTTTTAGAAATATATTTTCAGTCATTCACTCAAAAGGAAGATCTTCCTTGGAGATTCTCAAAATGTAAAATGGTCACATGACAAACATAAAATGCTTTTGAGAACAGAGAATACCTGACATTTATTTTATGTTGAAAATTCTCACACAACAATTCAATGACTGGATATTATCTTTGGAATGCAAACTATGATCCAAATTGTGCCAATACTTTTAGTTAAACATGCTTTGAACCAGATCCCTGTTGTTTCAAATAGTACACATGATTGAATTGGCATCTTTAATTCAAAATGTTAAAAGTTTGGATAGCAACAGTCACAATCAGTGGATGCTCATGAAATGCAACTTAGGGCAATATAACAGAGACAGTTCCTCCATTTGTCTTCCTTTACATATGTCATGGAAGCAAGATGTGCGGAGTTTTCTGATTGTGCCATATACAATGACACATCCCCACCTTCTGCTTTCTGATCACCAATTCCATGCACATTTCCCAGCTCACAAGGTCTGATGAATGCTGCGCAAGTAGCTGGAGGAGCCAATGCAACCAGAAGCAAGACCACTCCCAGCTCCATTAAAAGTAGGAGGATGCTGTTCGCTTTTCTCTGCTCCACAAAGGACAAGCTCAGAGAAACACAAACAAGCGAGGAAGAGGAAGCCGTAGAAACGTATCTATAAGCCAGGGACAAGAGCTTATAGAGGTATCACCTGGATACCTAATGAGAGCGGAGAGCCCTTCCTCCTTAGCTACCAGCTGCCCCAATTCCCTTCTTTGCCTATAGAGGCCAGTATTTCCTACGAAGCAAGGATCCAGGACTGTTCTTCAGCTGGGAATGCCGAAGCGTTAAGGGATGCCACGACTGAACGCCAGCAAACCTGGAAGGCACTCCATGCTACCATGATGAAAAAAGGTCAGTTATGCTTTACGAACTCTTGAGGGAGAGCCCTTTCAACGTAAGTCCTATCTCTTGGTGCGGGCAGCTGCCATCACCGACCTTGACCTAGTTCATCCATCTCGCCCGGTTCTTCCCTCGCTTTTCATCCCTGGATCTTCGCAACCCTAACCCAGTGCCTACCCCCGTCTCCCTCACCGTTCCGCTTCCCTCTAAACTTGCTCCACTCAGAGACACACAGCGCTTGGAGAGAACTGAGGACAATCGGCGGCCGAGGAGCGCTGTTACCTCGAAAAGCTGCGGGATCTCCCTCCTGGTCAAATACTCTTTGGCGTCGCAGGTGCTCATGCCGCCTGGCGGAGAAAGGGGCGCTGGCGCGGCCAGTACTGCTCGCTGGTGCTTCTGCTCGGAGGATCGCACCCTTTCCCTGTCACCCAGCTCGCCTCGGAAACCGACCCCCGGAAGAAAAGGAGATTAGACAGAGGAGCCAGAGCCTTCCTGTTCTCGCCTCAGCTGCATCTAGCCTCGTAGCCCAGCCCGCGCGCCGCTGCTCAAGCTGTGGAGGCTGCTGGGCGGGAGTGGGTGGTTGCTGGAAAAGCGCCAGGGAAGGAGGGGGGAAATGACTCCGAATCGCACGATATCTCTCCTATTTACACGCGCATCACCAAGGGGCTGCGCCTGCACACACGTGGCGCCCTCTGATGAGAAGGAACGAAGAGCGGGGGGAAATCAGCCTAGGGGAAGCTCGTCACTCGAATCATTTGACTGGGGTGTAACCTTGGTCGGTCGTGGAGAGTGTCCGGAGTCCCGAAAGCCTTTCCTGAGGCGTCTCCTCCAGTCCATGACGGCCACCCACTCTCTACCTAAAGTTGGAGTGCGAAAACTGTTGAAATGAAGATTTTTGCAGCCTCATGCGCATCCTCAGGGACACACCCAATAAGAGCTGGTTTGAACTCTGTAGTATCGTATGTGCATGTTGAACCGATAAGGGTGAGGAGAGAAGAGTGCTGGAGACAGATGGGGTGACTGATTCCTGGAGACTGCAAGGGCAGTCAGATATGATCACACTGATGACATTCGTTAGAATTGATCCTGGTCATAGTAGAGTTTTTTCCAGTTATGATTTTTTTTTTCCAAAAGGAGCTGGGGCAGAAATGGATGGATGGATGGATGACATCTGGACAGCAAACTGCCAAAAAAAAAAGGCACAGATTTGCATAAAATTGTCATATGGTGATATATATGTATGCATGCAATATAAAAATAGTTACAACTACAGTACAGTACACATGACCGTAGCATAGAAGACTGACACGATAACCTGCCTGTCTTGCATGGTTTGTCATCCAAATGCCATTGATGGGCAAATTCAAGGCAGCTGCCAGCCCTCCTGCATATTTAGCTCAACCATTCCTTCAGCTGGATAGTCCTTCAAACAGAAGACTCATTTAGAATATTTAACAATCCTCTAGCAGCCCTCTAAGTGGAAGGCTGTCTTCTGTAAATACATGGTCCCCTTATGTGTGCATGTGATATCTATTGACTCAGTGAGGTTTGCTTCTGAAAAGATAGATCTAAAATTGCAATATTAACCTTTTGCCACCATAATGACCTTAGATTTCCTCTGTCTCTGAAAGGACTTTATGAGACCTTTATTTGCCCCTTTATGAGAAACTGGAAATGACTCAGTCCTTTGACTTTTAAATTGGGTATGCATATTGAAGGAGTAAAGAGAAAAAAGAGTGCAAAGTAAAAAGCCAAAACAAAACTCCATCTGTTAGATGTCTCTATGCTGAGACCATTGGTCATTGCCAAGCAGCGGATACAGGGCTGTGTTGCTGTATTTTGAAGGCCATTGGCTTTCCTCCCCAACCTTTTCTGAAGCTATACTTTGCCCTCTGTCAGAATTATCAGGTCATCATACCCATTCACACATCTCCCTCACTCCTATGGTTAGACCTTCCATTTCCTCCATCTAGAACTAGGGCATTGATAAGGGAACACCTGCCATATAAACACTTTCCCATAATAAATGGCCAATATCATGAGCCCCAATTAAAAACAGGCATGAAGCAATACATTACCAAGATTAGTCTTTGTTGATTTTTGAGAAATTACCAACATAATATGGGAATTTAATTTAAAAAATGCTGCAGTTTTAGAACTCATTTTTAGAATAATTTTCAAAACCATATTATTTAATTCCAAACTCTTGCTGATTCTGTAGGACATGTGATATCATTAAACAGACACATACAAACACCCCCCCCCCCATTACTTTGATCAACTGTCACAGGAATCATAACTTCCTGAGAGCTAAATATTTCAGAAAGTGTTGACATATAGAAATATAAGAAACTGCTGTCTTTCAAACTCTAGATTTGATTTTACAATTTAAACAGCTGTCATTCTATTTTTGTGGACAAGATTTATTGATGTGCCTTTTTTCTTTCATTAACATGCACAACTCTCACATGGCAGGTGGATATAAATTGTTCTGAGATGGCATGTTGGTGATTTAACCTTCTAGAAAAAGAAACTGGTGTGGTGTAGTGGTGAGAGTGTTGGACTGGCACTCAGAAGAACCAGGTTGTAGGCCCTGCTTGGCAGGGGCCACTTACAGGTGTCCATATGACTTAGTTGACATGCACATGGTGGGCATGTTGTGAGCAGAGCCGGCTGGAGCCGGGGGTCAGACTAGATAGCCCAGGAGACCCCTTGTGACTCGCTGTTTTTATGTTCAACACATCTCACAGGTGTGTTGTGGATATAAAACAAAGAGCGGAAGAGCCACATGAGCTACCTTGGGTTCCTTGCAAGAGAAAAATAGATGAGATATAAATGCAGTTTTTAAAAAGCAGAGTCAGACTATGCTCCAAGCTGCCAATCAATCTGTCACACAATGCTTACATGACAGAAAGCTAGTGGTTCTAAAAGCACCCCTAGACACAAGCAGAAATACTTCTTTCCACATCTGGACAAGTAAACTGAGCTTCTTCCTGCAACAGTTGTCTGACAGTGGACAAAAGAAAAACAATGCAAAAGCTTCTTTAGAATAACCCTAAAGTATCAGGAATGATGGGTGGGGAATGTATAGTTGAAACATACAGTGTAATCCTGGACATGTCAGCATAGTATTTGCACTTTGCATCAGATTATTCTAGTACAGGAGTGTGGTCCTGTTTAATTTATTTATTTTATCTATGGTCACAGACCAGCCGATATAGAACAAAGTATAAAATCAGCCACAAATATAACCTATACTAAATAACAGATACTAAATAACAAATACTAATAGATACCTTCTATTAGTATCACCTGATACTAAGCTAAGGTTTAGCTATCTGATTCCACACACTCCATGCCTGAGCACAGAATTTGCCACCTTGAGTATAAATGCATTGGTAGCATCTGGAAAGAAGGGGAGATTAAAACTTAATGGTTCTACCTGGAAATTTTACTCACATTGGTGCAATGAAATAGGAACAGATGTTCTTATGATATAAACAATATAAGAAAACATGTTTGTTTTTACCATATCAGATCTAAACAGGCTGAAACTGAGAATAAGGAGTTTGCATCTCCATTCTGAAACAGCTGACAAACCATTAAACTGGGCCAAGGTAAAATCTTTAGAAGTCTAGGATTTTTTAATTTTTTTAATTAATTTTATTTTCTTAACATAAACAAATACAAAAAGGTTAGGGAGCTCTGAAGATTTCCATTTAGAAGTAATTGTAATTCTTGCTTCAGTTATCATATATTTAAATATCTCTGACATATTCATTGAAAAGATTTCTCACATTATATTCAAAAGCATATTCTTAGGACTCATAAAGAACTTAGTTTTAAAGGTTTATTTTGTATTTCTGCATGTATCAGTTTACAAAATCTTTTCGTTATTTCATAAGTTCTCCACATATGATAAAAGTCCCATCCATGCTGTCACAGTTCCAGCATTTTCCATTATAATTCTTATTTATTTAATTGTTATTTTCTTTTATCACACATGTCTGTTGCATTTTATTCATTTGCCTAAACCAATAATATCCCACATGTATCCTTCCCCATGTTTTTACTGTCCCATTCTTAAAATTGTTGTTTGAGCACAAACACTCTTTTTGTCTACCTGGAAAGGGTGTTCTTATCTCTTTTGTATTTCCATTGATAAGAGGATATTTCCAATTTCATACCAGTCGTTTTCTCAATTATACTAACTCCCCAGGAGAAGAAAAAGGCTCCAGTAATCCACAGCATCTTCGGCGTCATTCTTCTAGAGGTTATTTTGTCAGACTCATAAACAAAAGACACAGGGACAGATGAAATAGACACGACAGCAACACTAGCCATAACAAAATGAGATCTATTAATGAAATCATGTAAATAAGAGAAATAGTTACACATGTGCTGCTTTCCACAATTTTATTTGATTTCTGTGCACCCATATTCTTTTGTCCCCCTCTAATTGAATCAAGTATGAGGTTGGATAAATATTGTTCAATACTACAAATGGTCTCCTCCATTTGGGACATAAATTATGCTCTTTTGGCCCTAATTTCAAATATCCCACTTGTTCTCCAATCGGAATCATAACCTTTTCTGCTTCCACTGCAGATTTTAACTTATTAATGTTTTCCATTTCCTCCCTAATGCTCCTCTGATATTGTTTCGTTTCCTTCAATACCCCAGTCCAGTCCATATTGCATTCATTGTGAACATCGAAGTCATCTGGAAACCCTAAATTCATTTTGTCTCCAAACAGAGACAAGGTGATATGTCATAAGGTGATAGTCCCAATTTTCATGTGGGGCTACTCCTTATAGCATGGGTCCTCAAACTATGGCCTATGGGCCGGATCCAGCCTACCATGCCCATTTATCCAGCCCACCTCAGAGATTTTGGACTCGCTCAGAGAAAACTATCTTCGAGCGAGTCCAAAAGCTCTGAACCAGCACAGGTGTTCTTTAAAACTGAGCAGAGAGAGAGCCGGCACATGCCCAAATTGCAACAGTTCAATTTCTTTCCCCAATGCTCAACACTATCCCTGCTTTGCCATTGGCTGGTTACTAAGAAGTCACAATCTTCCCCATCCACCTACATCATATTACTCCTTAATATGTTCCCCCCTCCCGCTCATACATCCCATGTTCATGCTAATGAGCCAATTACCTATAAGAGTTGTGTCATTTTCTATTTATGAGCCTATTAAGCATGTGCAGTACCTTCTAAGAGGTCAACAGGCCGAAGTGGCCTTGAAAATTCTTACTTGATGCCAAAATGTTTCTTAAATCTTGTGGGGAGGATGAGACAATGAGAACAGGCCTTTATTCATTCTAAAAGATGCAGAT